TGGTGATGTCATTTTGACGAAAAGGTTTTCATTTGTGCATGATCAATATTTGTTTAAACACTGCATTCAAATATAATTTAATAAGTCAGTTATTTTCTCATATAATTATGATCATAGTTTACAATTTTATCATTACAATCTTTTGAAAGATTATATGGAAAAGTATATTTCATGTGTAAGTGACTTTCGGTTTGGTTATGGTAGTAGTATCTTTTCATTGTTAAAGCGATTGTTGGCACCAAAAAAATTTAAACACGATGGTTTAAATAGTGGTGTCGTTCCATTTAATTGGAAGTAATTTTTAAGTTTTATGACATAGTTTGTGAAGTCATAATTATGAATCTTGTAATAGAATTGGTTTAACCATGAACTATGATCTTAATGTTGGAGTTTATCTTTTGAATGAGAAGGGATAATTTAATTTTCTTTTGTCACAAATATTTTTGAATAAATAATGTATGAATTTATCAAAAATGAATTATTATTTATGACAGTGACACTTGTTCAAAAATGAATCATGTGATTTGTGTTAATTTATGTATTATCACAAATGTGGGAGGGGGGGAACCAGAATTGTCTGCTAATCAGAATTTATGACGAGTTATCCTTAGAAACCATTAAAAGTATTCAAATTAAAGAGTTTAAATCTTAATTTGGAGGTACAAATACTTTTTATTGAATGCATTCTAAAGATTTAACACAATTAAATGAAGTTTTTGAATTGTTTGATTCTTGGGCAAAATCTTTATAAAGATATAATTTTGTTTAAGCATTAATTTTGACTTGTGTAGTCATAATTATTTTAAGTTTTCTATTTCATAAATTTGATTTAGAATTTTATTATTCAAGCACACAATAGTTAATAAGTGATGAATGTTATATAATGATTTATATCAGAATTGTGGAGGTGTATTGATATTTTTGTACGATAATATCTTAATAAAAAAAATTAATTTTTCTTAGAGTACTTAAAATGTGGGGATGCTTAGAAGATTTATCAAAGTAACGGTTTCGATTGTAGGTTCACAAAAAATCTCAATTCTTTTTATAGGACAATGTTAGAGTAGAAGCAAAAATTGTTTCATTAACTCTTAAGGAACACCTCTATGCTTATTATTTAAATTTGAAAATGGGAGTGACATAGAGGACTTAATACCGTAGGACATTTGCTTTCAGTTGTTAATATTGTCTAAGGATAATATAATGAATCCACGAACTACTCCATGATATATAACTGAGAAAGTCAAACGAAAAATAGCGGCCGCTAAACAAAAAGTTTGACGAAAGAGAGTAAATGAGGAAAAACTCATTGAGGGGAATGTGATTAGAGCCTATTAATTTCGCGTCGCTATAATGGCAACCCAACCTAATTGGCTAGAGATCCCAATATATAGATTCAAAGGGACAATTGAATTATGGATGACTCATCAAAAATCACTAAAGGGGGTCTATCTCCTATCCATTCTTATGATGAGAGTGATATCTGCAACATGTGTTGTATGTAGAGGACTTAGGGCAAGCTATACTTTTAACGATCACTAACATCTTGAAAAACCTAGAGGGGTATCTTTCAAGAGGAGTATTTAAGAAACTCAAAATAAGGATTACCTATATGAGTGTGAACCGTTTCTATGAGAATTGATAAGACTAAATTCTCTAAAGCACTTATAAAACACCAAGTGTATAAATATGACTTCATCCTGTACCAATGAGATTCATTCAATAAACAATATATTCATTTTCTTTATTCTTATGATGAGAGTGATATTTGCAACATGTGTTGTATGCAAGGAACTTAGGGTAAGCTATGCTTTTAATGATTACTTATATCTTGAAAACCCTTCTACAGTATCTTTCAAGAGGAGTATTTAAGAGACTCAAAATAAGGATTACCTATATGAGTGTGAAGGGACCGTTTCTATGAGAATTGATAAGACTAAATTCTCTAAAGCACTTATGAAACACCAAGATATGCCCAAGGCCAAAACGGGCGCAACCGTGAGAACTAAGTTGTGTCTGGAGATATTCTGTGTGAATTCTATTGTCTTGGCTTATATAAAAAGCTGAACAATTCAAGGCATCACGCCCACTAATTAGCTAGTAAGTTTGATAGTCTTTCACTAAGAAAAGTTCAAAGCCAAAAGCTACCTATCCCTATTCAGAATATTTCCAATTGAATTCTCTTTGAGTCTGCATTGAGTCTTGCATACTTTTCTGTCATTTCATTCATGTGGAAGATTGTTGAAAAAATGATTTGAAACCATTAATAGATAAATAAGAAATTGACTCTAAAGTGCACCATTTGAGTATGGTTTTAAGAGGAAATTTATTTAATTTAAAATTAAATTTATTTATTATTTATTTGGGTCAAAATTGAACCAGATTCGATTCAAAATTCGAATATGTTTGAAAGAACAATCATACTTGTTCTTTGCACCTATTCCATGGAAGAGCTGTGTCTTTTCATTGAAAAGCCATCATGAACTTTCATAGAGCCGCCAATTCATCTATATAAATAAATCCCCATTGCATTCATTAAATATGAAATTCATCTTGTGTCTCTTTTTGCAACACTCTATCTTTTCTGTAAGAGAATTCTGCATAGTAAGGTTCGCTAGATTTGTTGTGGTAGTACTACTTCTGTAAGGTTCGATCGTTGTATCTTGAGAAACGAACGTTCAATTGAAACTCGTGAGCACCGTAGCTTGTGAACACGAGCCTCGATCAAGTCGTTTTTCGTTTCTGAATTTTTACAATTTGTTGTAAGTTTTCTACTTTTCTGTAAGTATTTTTGGTTTTCATTATATGGTTTGGTTTGGTTTAACCATAACAATTTAGGTTATATCCAACTTATAATTTTTTTTAAATATAATTTGGTAATATATGTGGTGCAATTATTGCATATTATAACTGTACACATAAAAATTATTTTAACAGTTACTTGAGTTTGAATGATTTTGATAATTTTTCTTATTATAAACTTTATCATATATTTAAATGAATTTTAATAATTATATATAGAGGTAACCTTTATCAAAAAAAATGTGAATAACCTTTTGGTCACAAATTTTTAATTTCTTTTTAAATATATAAAAAGTCTCGTATTAGAAGTTTGAGTCTCAAAAATGTTAAAGCAAGCCAACTCCCACTTTCTTGAGCAATTATTCAATACTCCAAAAAGGCATGGACGTGGCTGAGATTGATTTGTAACATTAATAATTTTTCCACTTTCACGCGTTATTATTATGGGTTATTTTGAGAAGATAGTTAAAAATTATCATTTAATTTTTAATCTATTTTAAATTATATCATTTCTAGTCTATTTTTATACACTTATATTTTTTCAAAAAAAATAAAAAAATTAACTTTTACCTATCTTTTTCAAATAATCCTACATGACCCGACATGACGCTTCTCCCTCAAAGACTCATCTCACAACTTTTAAAAGTACTAAAAAACGCCAACAGTTAATTAATTCCAATTGGGACAACAACCCCATAAGAATAAATGCTGTTTGCCGGAGAATTCCATATGCAATTTTACCCCTTAGAATTTTTAAAAGTTAATATCACACCTACTTTTTAAAATATATCTATTTGGTCATTCCCCTAGAGTCCCTTCAGACGTTTGCATAGTTGATCGGAACAGTATTTATGTTTGTTATAGCACATGTTATTTTTATATTTTAAATAAAAAATATTTTTGAATTTTTTACGAGTTTTGAATAAAATTTTAAGTTATGTATTTGGTTATGAATTGTAAATTTTTTAATCAAATATCATATGTCACATTACTCAATTAAAACTCATAATCAAACAAATTTTCTACATTCAAATCATAATATCAAAACTCATAAACTGAAAATACAACTCTATTATCAAATCATAATTCTAAAACTCTATCAAATACAGCCAAATTTTTTTTTTAGGGTGTCATAATATGATTATTATTCAGCAGCAACGCTACGCCCATAGATAATCAAATACAAAATTAAACATAAACATTGTTCTATTAAACGACCAGAAGATATCATAAAGCGGTTGATAAATTCTGACCAAACAACAGAATAATTTTTATGCTGGAATCTATGTTAGATCTAATGTTTGTCTAGACTTTTTGTATCATTCGATAATCTGAAAATATAATAATATGATTGATAAAAAAATATATAATGTTATTTATTTATATTAAATAATTAAAAAATATGAAATAATATAATAAATCATGAACCCCGCAAGGGAATATATACTCACGACTGAAAAATTATTCAATATTTTTAGAGTATCATAAGTCTGTACTCTCTAACCAATTATTATTAATATGTTTCTTATATTTTTCAATTACTCAATACAATATTTCACCTATTCACATTCTCTACTAATTATAATACTATAAAATACCACGTATCTATATTTAGAGATTACTGAATAATTAGTGGTGTTTTTTTTGTCATAATAACAAAGTTAGAGCATCTGCATCAGTCTTTTTAAATTTTTAGTCAAATTATAACCCAAAATCTACTTTTGCTATTTTAACTAGTCACCTTTTTAATATTCACTACATCAAACTCTCTATTCTAACTCTATTTTATTAAAATATTAATTTTTTTATTGTATTTGTTATTTTATTTTATTTTTTATTGGTGAGGTGCCATCCAAACAATTCTTAAAAAATGCACAAAAAAAAAAAAATATGCCGTTAACTAGTTGACCGGCCGGTTAGACTAATTTTAGACATTTTTATTCTTCTGCTACAGCACGAAACATCCGGTAGAATATTCGGGTGGACGATTGATTTAAAGATTTTAGCCTAGTTTTACTCCAAAAAAATATAATAAAAAATTATATAGCTAATGAATAGTACTTCAACAAAGTTATTGAGCTACTGTAACAAATTTAACAAAAAAATTAATTTAGAAAAAATTTGAGAGATGAATAATTTTGTAATTTATTAGCTATATATTTCACCTTTTTGTTATTTTGACTATGCAGATGCGGATGCTGTTGGGAGCGCAATACACACTATAAAAACAAAGAGCACTGCCTCGCCCATCTCTGTGTCAATTCTCCCTCTCTCTCTCTCTCTCTCTCTCTGTCTGAAAGTTGCGCAATCCAAGCTCCAAGGGAGTCTCCGAATTTAAAATCAGGTAATCGTCGATTCTAACCATACAGCTTTTGAACAATCTCTTAGTTTTTTTTGTTGTTAATTCTTCAATTTGTCATTCATGTTCTATATGCATGTGATCGAGTGTTTTTGCGTGTCTTGTGTTGATCATGGCTTTTGATTTAATATGATGTTTGTAAAGTTATGGATTCTATTCCGTGTCAGCTCCTTTTTTTTTTTTTCTTTTTTTCTTTTTTTATATCAGTAAAATTTTGAGTTTCAGTCTGTTTCACGAATTGAAGAACCCTTGCTCCTTTGCCCCTTTTTGTGTACTTATTCTGTATGGAGAAGCCCTAGAAATCTCTTCTTCTTTTTTTATTGGTTTTATTGGTATGGTTTGTTTACTTGGAAATTAGTTTGTTTGATGATCATTTCTCATTTACTTTTCTATTTAATGGTCACTATGCTTTAATGAATAGTTCATGGCCTGTTGTTTCCATTGAAATTGGCTTGAGATGGTTTTTTGAGGAGACCTCCTTCTCTGTTTGTTTTGATGGGAGATACTTCCCCAAGAAATGTCCTTGAGAAATTTATTATGTTTATTATTCACTCTAGTTTTGTGAAATGAAAAATCTATGCCTTTGAATATCTGAAATTAAGTACTGGTTTTTGTTGTGATTTCTTACAAAACAAATAGACCCCGTAGTTTGCAGCTCTTTTGATGGCTATTGTTGTAAAGCTTGGTTATCACGTGTCTTCAAGTAATACGAGAGAACCATATCTTTCTCTCCATTTATTTAACGAGAAAGTGTGTACACCCACATGGGTGTGCGTCAAATCTACAATTACAATTTACAGATATGTAATTACAATCTAGTGTAATCGAAAACAGTTATAGAAGAAAGGGTAGTTACGAAAGGAAACCACTCAGCATAAAGAAAAGCAAAGGCTTCAGGACACCAAGTCCATATGATAGAGTTGAATTAAGTTTGCGATGTTTCCGATTGAAACATGACGAATAACTTAGATTTATCGTATGGTAGAGTTGAATTATACTTGCCATATGATAGAGTTAAACTAAGTTTGCAATGTTTTCGATTGAAACATGACGAATAACTTAGACTTATCATATGGTAGAATTGAATTATACTTGCCATATGATAAGAGTTAAATTAAGTCTGCGATATTTTCGATTGAAACATGGTGGGCGACTTAACACTTATCATATAGTGGAGTTGAATTATACTTGCCATATAATAGAGTTGACCTAAGTTTGATTTAGTTAGATTAATAGAGAAACCGAGGTAGTACACTTTGGCTAATCTTTATTTGAATTAGACCTCGGCCAGAATTGGGGTTTGCATGCTTAATGTGAACATAAGTGATATTTAGGTTCATGTTAAAGGGCAGGGGGCAGGAATGATAATAAAGCTTAAAGAGCTTGGCACTTGTTGAAATTTCAAAAACAATTTACAAATTAGCCGAGGTAACCTGGTGAGGGATATCCGAGATATTTGTTTCCCGAGGTAACGAACCAGTTTGTCAAACTTGGAAAGGGGGAAGTCTTGATAAAAGACAGCAAGTACAAGTGGAGGAAGAACACTTGTAAACATGTTTGAATCAAATATTTTTACAGTGTGGCTGAGAAAAACAGCCAAGGTTTGTATCCGAAGTAATACTTGTCCAAGGTATTCCAACCCGAAGTGGTTACATAGAATATACTTGGAAGAAGTAGAAAACTATTCTAAGTATGGAAGCATGCAATGCATAGAAGCAAACAGTAAAGCTTAAAACGAGCATACATTCAACACTTAGGAAAGAAAGAAGAAGGCATGCATTCATTTCAAAGAAAATTTGTTCATTTACAAGGGCACACCGGCCAAAAGAAAACTGAAATTGTTCAGACGACAAACTGTTACAACTATTCAACAGTAAAAGGAAAAAGTACAAAGCAAGAAAATTTCCTAAAGTAAACTATCATGCTTCAGCTGTTGAAGATGTTTCAGCCTCGGCAGACAACTGGGAGGACTTCTCAGCAATCTTCTCAGCCTCAATCTCGGCCTCAATCTCGAGTAAGAGTCTGGTCGGCAGATTGGATCTCAGCCTCTTGGGGAGCCTTCTTTGAAGAAGAACGTTTGGAGACCTCATCATCTTCCTTATCCTGAGTCAAGTCTAGGACTTGCTCATTTAGAGTAGGGGACTTGGCTCCAACGGCAGCATCTAACTCTTCATCGGCAACCTCAACTTTGGCTTCCTCCTCTTCAGCTTCGTTGTCAGAGTCTTTTGGAGAGGGAGAGAATGACACGCTGAGCTGATTAATGTCTCGAAGAGGAGAGTCCGCAGGGATGGACAGTTTGTTTAGGGTTGCAATCCAGCCGAGGTAATAACCCTAGTTGCAGGCTTGGTTGACCTGGGCTTTGTAGGCGTCAAGGAAGTCGGCTTGACCTTCGGTGTAGGCCTTGTCATCAGCCGCTTTGATCTTAGCCTCTTTGCTCTCCAAGGCCTCCTTGAGCTTTTCCTCGGCTTGGGCAGCCTTAACTTCGGCGGCTTCTGCCACAGCCTTGGCCGCCTCAGCGGCAGCGATAGCTTCTTTGGTTTTGGCCTCAGCCTCTGTTTGTGCAGCCCTTGCCGCCTTGGCCTTATCCATCAGGTGCCGGTTGTTGGCCTCGGCTTGGTTAAGAGAGGAGAGGAGATTGGCTGCTTCTTGAGTCTTTCTCACCAACTCCTTCCTCGTTATCTCAGTCTTGACCACATACGAATGCGCATGCTGAATGGCCTGCAAGAAATGAAACAGATTAGTAAAAATTTGGCCAAGTGTTGGAAAACTTTCAAAGGTAAAGTAAGAGACATACCAAGACTAAGTGTTACATCATAAGGCCAAAGTTCTCATATTCATGGATTGGGAGGAGTACGACCGTTAACAAAGCGGTGCCGACCTCTACGTTCTCAATCGTGCTATCACCAGCTGTCAAAGGTCGGTCCTGAACCATTACCTCGGGTGCCCAGGTTTTATCGCAGGGGAAGCTGCTGCTACTTTCTGGGCAATTAGACCTCGGCTTCTTTGGTGGTGGGCATCATCTGTTGCGGCCTTGGCTGGCCTCTTCTCGGCACTAGAAGTAGTTTTTTCGATCTCGGTCAGCTTAGTGATTGGCACAGTGTCCTCAAAATCAATCTGAGTCACTGTTGCCTTGACCTTAGCCTTCTTCACTCCTTTGGCTTTGGTTTAGGTAGGGATTGTGATGGAGAGGACTGAACGGTAACCACTCCTGGCAAGTTGGCCAGGAGGTCTTCCACAACGGCTTTGCTGCGGCCTATGTCGACGACAGATGCACTGACAGTAACTCTGGTGCTGAAGTAGATTGATGGAAGGGCGATTGGGGGATTGGCTGGATCGTAAGCCGACGCTTTAGATTCTCGGCGTTTGTGGCTCCGAGTTCTACCGGCAGGTGCATTTGGTAGAGCACGATGTCGGCGTCGGCACTGGGACGGTGGAATCAACTGAGGGGTAGACGCAGATGGCTGCTCTATTGGATCTGAAGAGGAAGCTTGGTCAGCCCTTGGTGAAGAGGTGACTGGAGGGGTTGAGATAGATGGTGGAGTTTGACTTCTCCTAGGGACGTCGGGCAGAGCCGACTTGTATGTGGGTATATAGTTCAACAGAAGGGGGGCTTTGCGTCTCTGGACGGGGAGATCGAGAAGCTTCTTTAAACCTTGGCTTGGGGCATAAGACTGTCGGAATCCCTTTGCTGGCTAGAAAGAACTGCCGAAAGCAAGAAACAAACATTAGTAAAGATAAATGTGTAGACAAGTCTTTAATAAAAATGGAGTTGTGGTAGGTTGACTAAGTCTTACTCTCATCCTCTCTAAACATTGTTCGGCGTAGAGGAAAGAGATGGAGATCGTCATCAGAAGCGAACTCCCAGTTGCCTGAGACGATCAAGGAGTCATCTCTAGCACCCTTGTTGGAGTCAGGGAGGTCGGCTATGAGTTTGAAAGCGGTGGATCTGGGCTTGAGGTAGTATATGTAGCCATTTTCAGACTTAAGACCACACATGGTGTAACAAAATTAGATGTCGGCCAGTGTAATCCTAGCATTTTCTTAGCGTGCTAGTTCGATTATGCCATTGATAACCCTACAGAAATTGATGGCTAACTGCATAGGGTTAAGCTTATAGTAGTGGAAGATTTCCCTAAAAAGGATGTCTAAGGGAAGTCAAAGTCCACACTCAATAAAAGTAACTACAAGGAAGGGCATGGAGTTCGTATCTGGCATAATGGAGTCCTCCTTACCAGCCAACCTGATCTGAACGTCAGTAGGAATGGAGTACTCTTGCCTAAAATACTTTAATTTGGCCGGGGTGTCTACCCTCCACCTGAACATACCCATGATCTCAGCTTAAAGTGTTTTGCGGTGGATTTTAGAGGAAAGACACTAGTAGGGGTTTCAGAACCTGAGCTAAACCTTAGAGAGCACTAGGATGAGGATTCTTGAAGATCTAAGGAGAATTTGTTTCAGTTTTCCTAAGGATATGGGTTCTATGGCAAACCCCAGACCTAGAACTACAGAAACAAGAAACAGAAGCAAGAATCTGGAAAAACAGGCCAAGGAAACAAAAAGGAACATGAATCAGAATCAAGAAAGCAACATCCAAGAAACATGGAAAGTATAGATTCATGAACACTAAGTGAGTGTGTGAGAGACAGTGTGCAAAAGTCACGACAAGCAAACATAATTGGCATTCTAGTGATGAACTTCAAAGCATAACACAGATTTAAGAAACGAGAAATGATTCGTAGAGACAGGGTATAGCTACAAATATAGATGCAAAATGGCAACAGACAAAATGTATATAGGTGACGGATTCAAATAAAATAAATAAATAAATCAAAAGAATAATGAAAGACTGAACTTAAAGAGGAAAGAAATTGTTAACTTACTGAGTGAAACGGACACCGGAATGAGGCTTGCCGAAGACAGACGACGTGAGTATTCAGAACCAAATTACTGAAAGCTCGCCGGATGAGGTGATTGAAGCAGTTGCAGAGAGCTCGAAGAAACAGCAATGGAGGTTAGGGAATTGTTAGAGAGAGAAAATCTTGAGCACAGAGAGAATGCGAGAATACGAAGTGAGAAGACAAAGAGAGAGAAAGAGAGTTGTGTTAAAAATTGAAAAGGCGGCAAAACATGATGAATTAGCCTTGGACAACGTGCTTGTCAAGCGGCGTGCTCAGAGGTGACGCGACCTGATAGCGCGTGTCAAGTATGAATCGATAAGGAAGGGACACGTGGACGAAACGGTTGGAAAGACTGTGTGTGACAGCTCATGCGCAGTTAGAACTCTTCAAATTCTTGAAATAACGAGGCCATAACCTCGGCTACAAGAGCAATCTTCGGCTGAGATGCTTGAAAAGTTAGATTCTTGGCTTATGATCCTTAGGAAAGTGGATAGCTAAGTCCTGATTATATGAAGCCGACGAGAGATGATCTCGAACGAAGAAAAAAATGAATTTTTAGCCGACATGAAGTGTGGACAAGAGTGTAGGTTCCTTCACCTCAGGTTGCCGAGTTAATAGAACCTAGGGGGCAGTTGTAGGGAAGTACTTTGTGAATGACAACACGTGGCTAAGATGACACCAAAGTGTCAGCCGAGGTGCCACGTAACCTGGTCAGTTGCCGAGATAATCTCGGCCAAACCGAGGTTATCTGCAGAGATAGCGGGGTCCGAGGCAAATGTATAAGGGACAGGAGTCCTAGAAGTGGGGAGGATCTCATTCTGGATAAAAATAAGGCTCAAGAAGAGTTTATCTTTATCTAGATGAGGATCCAGGATGAGCATTGAATCTGAGTCCACTGAAACTAGACTTCTAAAGGGATTAGGTCAGTACTGGCTATAAAAGCAGGGCACCCTTGTGGGTCTCAGGTATGTGTGATGTACTGTGAGCAGTGAATTGTGAGTTAAATACTTGAATTGATATCTTTGAGAGATTACTGACTTGATCGTCGGAGTGTCCCTGGGTGGACACACTGCTGCCGGATTCTCATCTTCTTGTGCAAGTTGTTGGGCTTAATCTATTCTGCTGGTAGTTTCCAATTAGTTCCCCTTTTGGTTGTGTGGTCGGAAATCAACACCCACAACTACTTAAAAAAAGATATGTACTTGGTTGACTATTTTCTTTAATATCCCATTTTCTTTGAAAGGAATTGGGGAGAGAAAAAATAAATATATTTTGCCATTGTGGTTAGTCTCTCTCTCTCTCTCTCTTTCTCTTCAAAACTTGCACATACATTCATCTGCCATCATGCCCTCGTAGTCTGTAAATTGGCTTTCGGGTACTCTTTGGTCTTTGCAATATAGTGGATGTGTTGTTTTTTTGAGGGTTTAAAAAAAAAAAATTTCCTTCTAACAGCCTAAGGTTGTAGTTTTTGTTTTCTTCCAATTTTATAATTTTTCTTTACCTTTATAGTTGTTTCGCATGTCTCCAAAATTAAATAAAACATTAGTCTCCCCCCCCCCCCTCCCCTCTCTGAAAGGAACAAAAATTGAGTTTAACAAATGCATATTTTCATGCTATACATGATTAAGCAATGGATAATGTAAATTAACTTTCTATGTGCCTAACAAAAATTGGAGATGTGATCTTATATTGGATGGTAGGTCATGAAATTGAGAAGGCTAAGTAGGCAACTTGGAATTTTGCCCACCTTTATAAAAAGATAAATAAAAATTGATGAGTCAACGATTGCCCACCTTATGAGAGACCCTGTTGAGATGGTGGATGCCTCCCATGCCTTTTGATTTGGAGAATTGAGATAACGTAACATACTATGAAGCATGGACACGTCAGATTTCATGCCATGGCGGTGTTTGACACGAGGACACGCCAGGGATACGTACGGGACACACCGGGTGGCGTGTCCCTTTAATTTAATTATTTTTTTGCAGGGGACACGGCGGAGACACGCGTATCCACCGAATCTGGACACGTGTGTCCAAATCTAGACATAGAGAGCAAAAGAGAAAAGTAAAGGAGAAGGGTAAAGATCAAGAGACAAACTTCGACTTCGATCTAGTCGATTTGCCTGACGATCTCCATGACTTCGACCACCGTAAGCCGTCGACCTCGACCTCCATCCAGTTGACCAGCGTAAGTCTCTCTCTCTCTCGCCTTCCCTCTCGCTCGCGTCTTTCGCTCTCTCGCTCTCGCATCGCTTGCTCTCGCATCGCTCGCTCTCTCTCTATCTCTCTTGCTCTTGCGTCTCTCGCTCTGATTCATATCTGATTCATATGTATAATATATATATATGTATTTATTTTATATTAATAAAAAAGACATATTATGTATTTTTTATATACATATATATATATATATGTATTTATTTAATATTAATAAAAAGACATATCTTATATACATATTAATCACAAAAAAAAAGTAGATAAAATAAAATAAAAAAATTAATATAAACATATTTATTTAAAAATGTAATAATTAAATAAAATAATTAACTTGTATTAAAATAAAAATATTTATAAAAAAAGAAAAAAAAATTGCCATGTCCCCAGCCGTGTCCGTGTCCGTTTCCGTGCTTCATAGGTAACATACATTAAATAAGTAAGAAGATAAACCGATTGAGTTAAGAAGCATAAACAAGAGGCAAAGGTTCTAGGGATTCAATAAGAGTCAAGGAACTCTTTTTTTTGACTTCCAAAGAAAAGTAAGATATGAGATGATCTGCTTTTGCAATATTTGTGGGCAAAAAATGTCTAATGCTGCCCTAATGAACAAAATGGTGCTATTACTTACCCTAATTAGTAGCTCACATGACCATCACATATTAGTACCCTAACAACAACATAACACTAGCACACGACTCCAAAATGAAGCAAAATAAATCAAGCTTGGCTAATGAGCTGGTTTCATCTTTTAAGCACCGCCAAATGTTCATGCATCACCCTTAGTAATAAGAACTAATGTTTAGTATGGGATGCCCCTTGGGACACCCTCAGAAAGGTGACACTAGTGTTTACTCTTGACAGCATCTTAGTTAAGAATGTAGCATAGGATAACACCCAAGACATCCTGAGCCTCACCATAATCTGTTCTCAACCACTCCCTCACCACTCAACAATGGATAAAAGGGTGCGTTACTGATTCTCCACCTTGCTTGCCTGAGTAGCACTGATTAAACATAACCTGTCTCTTTCAAATCAGATTATTAATTTTAAAATCTTTTCATATGTCACAATTCACACAAACAAGGCCACCTTGGATGGTTCCCCCAACAACCCACCGTCCCTTTTCAAGGGAACACCACATCCTCTTTGTGTTTCTGCTAAATTTCTGTGTCTCTAACAAGCCCCTGCTACCTTCCAACTCATCGAAGGCACATATATGGTTTGAAACCTTAGCTTTTGAACCCCCAAACTTTCTAATACTTCCCTGTCCCACTTCTTCAAATCCTCCAACAATTCAATTTTTTTTGGCCAGCACCAAACTCATGCTACCTATCACTGAGTACCTTCTCTGCCACTCCCTTACCTTCTCTTGAAAATATCCAATTAAAGCCACATATTTTCTAATATGAAAGGAATCCTACCCTGCCTTATTCCCCCACAATCCAAAAAAAATTGCAAAGTGATCTGACACTTGTTTTTAGTTCACATAATATAAACACTAAAACTTTATGGGCACTTAATTTTTAGGGTATACCAATGGAGAATGATGCATTTCTCACTCAGTTTGTAAACTTCTGAACATTTTGATGAAGAAACTACAACACTGGGGTGTATTAATTGTTTTGTAATCCTTGTTGGCTCTACTATAACCTAGACAATGTTCAAGCATTGATTAAGAAAGTTCATCATATTATCTTATTTGAGTTTTTGTTACCCTCTTCCCCCTCTCAAGCTTCTAACATGTTAAAGTGGCTAATTTGATGGGTCTATGTTTTGTGATATTTGATATCAGGTGATACATCTTACTTGTGTCAATCTCCATCAGCGAAAGCTGGAGGCAAAATTGGTCTGGAACTTGCTATCGCATGAAAAAGTGAATTGCTTTAAATTTCTTTTGCAAGTATCTCATTGGTTTCAAACCTTGGGGAAATGTCTAGTGGAGAAGGTAGAAAGGTTTCACGTGAAGACATCCAACTGGTAAGCTGTTGAGTTGAATTTTGTTTATAATTGTTTCCTTATTGGTTTCATGGCTTTGACCCATGTTGGTGAGTTAGCTGGCTTATGGTTTCATAAAGGAAAAGACAGAAGAAAATCGTTTAGTGCATTTTTTATTTATTTATTTTTTTATTTATAGAAAAAATATGGGAAGGAAAGAACACCATAATAAACAATTTGGGAATGAATCACAAATATAACCTCCTTTTGGTCTTAGAGAAATGGTTTGAAACATAACTATTGCTTTATAGTAGCTGGAGTTCCTTCGAGACTGTTGAATTTCTCTCTGTAGATTCAAGCAGCACCTTCAATGAGCCTGTCCTACTTAGGGGTGAGCAGCGGATATATCGATCCGCCAAAACCGACCAAACCGAACCGATCCGCCTCATTTTGGACGGATGCGTGATGACGAGCGGACGGTTGCGGATTAATTTTCTCCAATCCGCCAATTTGGCGGACGGATGGCGGATCTGAGGTTCTTTGGCCGCAACCGAACCGCCAAACCGCGAGCACCCTTAGTAATTTATAAGACTGTGTTTTCAATTTGTTTAAATATTTTGTTTGTGTTTTCAATTGAAAAAGAGTTCAAATATTCTGTTGAAAAAAAGTTTTTAACTTGAATATATTTTTTGAATTGAAAAAAAATAAACGTATTATTTATCTATATTTTTTGGTTTTTAAATCTAACTCTAAAAGTAATAAATAGAAAATATGATATATGGTGGTTAGTTTTTATTTTCAAAAACATATATAAATGTAACAATACAGAGACATACAATCTCTACTATTGCTCTGTTCATGGTTTTGGTGGTTTGAATTGTTTTTATATTTTAAGAACAACAGATGGTAATACTTTATGTGCATAAGACATGCTGTGATTGTAATATGTGGATGAGGCATGTAGTGATTGTGATATTTTAAAGTTTCAAACTTTCTTTCCTTGGATTAGGTATGCAGTAATTGTTAGCATATTATATTAAGTGTTAGCATATTATATTAGCCGAAAGGTTCACTAGGGTTTGTCTGTAATCATTTTATGCACTCAGGGATAGCACTCAGGGATCATCTTGTAATTGCATTTCTTGTAAACCCTAAATCTTCATTTATAAATAGGGGGTGATATTCTATCATTCCTTAAGCTGGTTACCCAAGCTTCACTATGCCCACAGCTCAGGTACGCAAACTTTGAACGGGCATAACTCTCTTGTCCAAACTCTGCTTTAGGTAATTCTTGTGTATAAATCGAAACCCCAGAAATAAGCTTTCTAATGGTTCTAGTCTCACATTAAAATTCAAGTGTGGAGAGAGAAAATGATAAAAGAATAATGCCTACTCAAAGAATGATTATCCGAATCAAGGTTTTGGCTCAATTCTACCCTACCATCACAATACCAAACCACTATAATATCGATTAAGGAGCGCCAGTCGATCTTCCAGCAGTTCGTCGATCTCTCTCTGGTATACTCTCATCACTGTTTGGTATACTTATGTCGTGTATATAGACCGTACCAATACATATATAAATGAATAACTAAATAAATACACAAAAAAAAAACTCAAAAAAAAAAAATGATTTCTTAATTTTTTGTTATGTCATTATAGTAGTCATTGTGCCTGTTATCTCACTACCACCTTCCGGGTTTGTGATTATCACTAGTTTTGTTGCGGGTTCGGTAATATTGTATCCATGATAGATTCCACTAGTGTGTCCCCTTCTTCTCAAACACCAAAGAGTGAGAGTCCCATTCTACCTACTACCATGACTGAGAACCCCAACCCTAGTCTGAAAATCACCACCTCTCTATTTAATGGTCAAAACTACCTAGCATGGTCTCAAAGTTTGACTTTGTTTTTGAAAAGCAGAGGGAAGATGGGGTATGTTGATGGCAGGATACAGGCACCTAGTACCACTGACTCAGGTTATGACCAATGGGAGATTACCAACTCTTTGATTATGAGTTGGCTTATCCATTCGATGGTTCCAGAACTTGGTGAGGGATACTTGTCTATGGAGACCGCCCAGGACGTTTGGGAGGCTGTGGCTGTTACCTATTCCCCAAAGGAAATTTTTCACAAGCATTTGAGTTGCGCCGCTCTATTGAGAGCTCACTTCAGGGGGAGCAAACTGTTCTTCAGTACTTCACTTTCCTCACCAACGGCTGGAAACGCCTTGACCACCTGGAAGACTATAAGCCCGTTTGCCCTACTGATTCTATCGGGTACAAAAAGTTCATCGCACGGGAACGGGTCTTTAAATTTTTGGCCGGCCTAAATGTGGAGTATGATCCAGTTAGGGGTCGAGTTCTGAGTATGGATACTCTTCCTTCACTTCAGGAGGCATTTGCCTATGTACAAAATGAGGAGAGTCGCCGGTCTGCCATGATGTCCCCTGTCTCTACTGACCGTTCCGCATTACTGTCTACTCCTCGAGATGGCCTCAGCCTGCCTCCTCCGTCTGCTAATAAGGAGTCTGTATTCTGTGATTATTGCAAGAAGCCGCGGCATACTCGTGAGACGTGTTGGAAGCTTCATGGGACTCCATCCGGGGGTCGAGGTGATCGGTCTGGTTCTCGAGAAGGTCGGTCAGGCCAATCTAGAGGATGTGGTTCCTATTCCCGGGCTCATCAGTCTAGTGCCGTTGATACCCTTGATTCTAATTCTACTTCTGTTACCCAAACTTCTGATACTGAGCTGGAGGATGCTTTGCGCCAATTGTTGGACCGCCGATCTTCTACTGCTCTCAGTATCGCTTCCTCGTCCTTTGCCCGCTCAGGTAACTTAGCATCTTCTCTTTGTGCTTTCCTGTGTCATACATCCTTGCCTTGGATTATTGATTCTGGTGCCTCAGATCATATGTCTGCTCCTCTGATCTTTTCTCTGTCTATAAGCCCTCTTCAGGTCAGGACAAAGTTAGGATTGCCGATGGTACTGTTTCTTCCATTTCTGGAAAAGGTTTAGTCCAAGTCACTCTTACCATACATCTATCTTCTGTTCTCCATGTTCCCAAGTTTTCTGTTAATCTGTTATCCTTAAGTCGTCTTACCCAAAATTTGAATTGTAGTGTGACGTTTTTTCCTGATCATTGTCTTTTTCAGGACCTTGTCACGGGGAGGACGATTGGCAGTGGTAGTGCAGAAAATGGTCTCTACTTCCTAGATCAACTGGACAAACTTGCTTATTCTTCCACCACGTCTTCTACTACCCCCGCTGATTTATGGCTGTGGCATCGGCGTCTTGGACATCCCTCATTTCATTTACTTAAGCATTTATTTCCTTCTAGTTTCGCAAATCATCATGTGTCTGACTTTCTTTGTGAGTCTTGTCAACTTGGAAAACAACATAGAGCTTCTTTTGCTCCCAGTTTGAATAAAAGCTTCGTTCCTTTTTCATTAATACATTCTGATGTTTGGGGTCCCTCTCGTGTTCTGTCTGTGAAAGGTCATCGCTGGTTTGTTACATTTATTGATGATTTTTCTCGTGCTACTTGGGTGTATCTCATGAAAGATAAGAGTGAGGTTTTCTCTGTGTTTCGCACTTTTCATAAGATGATTTGTACTCAGTTTGGGGCCACTATCAAAATATTTCGTTCTGATAATGGCGGGGAATACATAGCTTCTGGGTTAGGACAATATTTCTCTACTCATGGCATTATCCATCAGACCTCTTGCACCAATACCCCTCAACAAAATGGGGTGGCCAAACGCAAGAATCGGCACCTTCTTGACATGGCTCGGTGCATGTGTTTTTTTATGAATGTACCTCGGCCCTATTAGGGCGACGCTGTTCTCACCGCTGCCCATCTTATTAATCGTCTCCCTACCCAGGTCTTAGACAAACAGGCTCCGCTTCACGTCCTCCTCGGTTCTCAGTCCTTGTTTTCTATTCCCCCCAAAATATTTGGTTGTGTCTGTTTTGTCCATAATCACTCTCCCTCTCGTGGTAAGTTGGACCCTCGCTCCCTCAAATGTGTTTTCCTTGGGTACTCTCCTACTCAAAAGGAGTATAAATGTTACCACCCTTCCTCCCGTAAGTGGTTTGTGTCCATGGACGTCACTTGCTTTGAGTCCCAGTCCTATTTCTTGTCCTCTCCGGTGTCACCGTCCTCATTTCCGAGGGAGCCTTGGTGTGAAGTGAGTCCTGTGCCTCCTATGATAGAACCAGTTGTTCTTCCAGTTGTTCTTGCACCCCCCTCTACTGGAACTATAGAACCCACTGTCACCAAGAATAAGGACAGGCATGTTTATGTCCGGGACATAGACAGAAAACAAGTTAACTGGATACAAGGGACCGTTTCTGCTACTCCACTGCCATCTCCTGCTTCTGATGAGAGTCGAGGTAACTTTGAATCTCTCGAGTCCATTGATCTTGATGTTCCTATTGCCAAAAGGAAGGGTGTGAGATCTTGTACTCAACATCCTATCTCACAGTTTGTATCATACTCTCATTTGTCATCCTCATATAGAGCGTTTGTGTCCAATATTTCATCTGTTAGCATTCCTAACCATTTTCAGGATGCTCTTGCTACCTCTGAATGGAAACTAGCCATGATTGAGGAAATGAAAGCACTTAGGAAGAATGGCACTTGGGAATTGACTGAGTTACCTACGGGCAAACGACCTGTGGGCTGTAAATGGGTATATACTGTGAAACACAAAGCAGATGGGTCTATTGAGCGTTACAAGGCAAGACTTGTGGCAAAAGGGTTTACTCAGACATATGGCATTGATTATCAGGAGACCTTCGCACCAGTGGCTAAAATGAATTCAGTCAGAATACTTCTCTCTCTAGCAGCTAATCTAGATTGGCCGCTTTATCAGTTTGATGTCAAGAATGCTTTTCTCCATGGTGACCTCGAAGAAGAAGTATATATGGACATCCCTCCGGGTTTTGAGGATCATCAAACAGAAATTCTGGTGCCTCAGATCATATGTCTGGCGCCTCTGATCTTTTCTCTGCCTATAAGCCCTCTTCAGGTCAGGACA